GACAATAGCAGGAGAGGACTATGTCCTCCCTTCTATACAGTTTAGGGAATGTGGGGCTACCTTTGAAGGTGACCTGGAAACTACAACTAATCCAGAATGCGGCAGCTAGACTGGTGACTGGGGGCGGATGCCGAGACCATTATAACACCAGTCTTGAAAGATCTACATTGGCTCCCAGTACGTTTCCGAGCACAAATCAAAGTGTTGGTATTGACCTTTAAAGCCCTAAACGGCCTCAGCCCAGAATAGCTGAAGGAGCATCTCCGTCCCCATCGTTCTGCCCGGATGCTGAGGTCCAGAGCTGAGGGCCTTCTGGCGGTTCCCTCATTGTGAGAAGTAAAGCTACAGGGAACCAGGCAGAAGGCCTTCTCAGTAGTGGCACCTGCCCTGTGGAACGCCCTCCCATCAGATGTCAAAGAGATAAACAACTACCTGACATTTAGAAGACATCTGAAGGCTGTTTTTAATGTGTGACATTTTAATGTATTTTTAATCTTTGTTGGAAGCTGCCCAGAGTGGCTGGGGAGACCCAGCTAGATGGGTGGGGTACAAATAAATGATGATGATGATGATGATGATGATGATGATGATGTTTTTAATGTTTAATATTTTATTGTATTTTGTTGGAAGCCGCCCAGAGTGGCTGGGGAAACCCAACCAGATGGGTGGGGTATGAATGAATGAATGAATGAATGAATAAATAAATAAATATTATTGGCTACCTAGACTAATCCTGCAAGGCTCTTTTTATACTCTGAAAAAGTGATATTGTTGCTAACGGTCATTCTTGAGTCTGGGCACACGGCAAACCATATGGCTAACCAGCATTAAAAATGTTGCCCTGATAGAAAAGAAAACCCACTGAGCAAGATTGCATGTACCATTATGAAGAGTGGTGAAGAAGAGAATGTCAAAGGAAGCCCTTGCAGATAAGACCTAGTGATACAGAAGTACGTTTGTGAAAAACCATCTCTGTGTCAAAGTGCAAGAGAAAAGCCCCAGGCCCTGTGCTTCTTTACGGTCGCTGTGAGACAGATTGCCCCAGTGACAAATTACATATGATAGATTTGTCAGGAAATTAAAATGCCAAGTAGTGGACATCAAAGTTGCTATCAAAGGGATCTCCCGTCCGGCGGGAATATTACCGCGAGTGAAGGGGGGGGGAGAGAAAACTTGCAATGATATATAATTTTAATTGGACTCTGTCATGACAGGTTGACCAGATGCCAATAATCATCCAGGGGGGAGAAATAATATGAAGAGAAAGTGAGATAATGACTGTATATCTTGCCGTTTCTCTTAGACTGACTGTGACAGGTTTTAATCTTTTTTAGAATGTCTTTTTTGCCCTCAACTTTCATTTATTTTTTGAAAGGAGATGGCAGCACCGTGGCCTTGTATAGAAATGTCTCTGGTGCTGTAATGAGGACTGGCTATCATGAGGTCAGAGGGGAAGGCATTCCTCTTGTTCACCTGAAAGAATTATGCCCCACTCCGCTCAAAGCCTTCACTACAGTAAGCAGATGGAGAAAATGTTGAGGACTGGAGGAGAAGGTATGTCCTTTAAAAACCAAAGTGTTACGCAGCTTGCTGGGTTATTTATATACTGCTTTGTGGCCCAATCTTTTTGATATTCTGGTTCTAAGCTGTATCTCTCATCTGGCCCTCTTTCCTCTACTGAGGAGGTGGAGCAAACCCATGCCAGGTACAAGCTTAAGGAGTTCCCTTCCCAATACTTGACCTTATTGAATCCCCACATCTCTAGTTGTGTCCCAATGTGTTATTGATGTGCTCTAGTTATGTGCTAATGTGTATGGATAATAGAAACTGTTATGTGGATGCACTTTCTCCTGTGATCACTTGTAAATACTGTACAGACCTTTATTCTTCAGTGTTGCCCTTTTTCAAGCCGTTGGCTATGATCCCTTTCTTTTCTTTCAGAAGAGAGTGCTAAATGTCAGTGTCTCACAAGACAATAACTGTCGGAACACACATGTGACTGACGTCCTGCTTTCTCATGCATAATTACACAGACTTTAATTGGGGTTTGTTAAGCTCCTTGATCAGCTATGAGATTCCCCAAGAACAATTAAGAGCCGGATCCTCAGCTGATGAAAAAGTTGACTGGAACAGAGAAATATGCAGGCTCTGTGATACTTTACACCCAGCTGCCCCACCTCTGCCCACTTGCATTTGACTTAAATTAACTTCAAATTATTTCTGTTTAGATAATTTCTGCAGGCTTCCCTCCTCATTTTTAACTGAGCTTGTTTCCATAGGGTGCAAAGTACACACACCGAATGGAAAGGAGTCACAATAATTGCTTGGTGCTATTGAAATGATAGGTTTGCAAAAATAAATATAAAACCTCTGTCTTTAGCATGGTGTGTTTTTGTGTCAGAAGAGAAGCAGAATAAAGAAACCGAATATAAGCAATTACCATAAGCATGTTCTCTCTTCCACTCAGTAGTAAATGTGTGTAGGTTATCCTCAGTAGCTGCCAGCCCTCTTGTCAGCCCAATTATTTTAAAACAATTGTTTCATTTGGAATAGATGCCGCCGCGCAAATGATTGTCCCTTGTCAGTGACACATTCAATTAAAGCAACACAGAATAGGAGTTCTGGGGCCTACTGTGCCTTGTCCAATCATATCAGTCAACAAAGAACAACCTTGGAGACTCGAGTATGTCTTGGAACGACTGTCAGGTGGTTTGAACATGTTGCGCCTTCCCAGGGTTCCGCTGCGTCTTCATTTCCTGTGTCTTTTCCAGCCAATGACAGGCAGCGTCTCCACAGTGCTCAAGTTTGCTCTTGCCAAGAAGGCTTATGGCTGTGGAATAAGATGGCAGCTGTCACAGAGTACTGACAGTTGGTTGGAGCTCAGGGTGGCAAGCTGAACTGGAGTTGTAGCAGTTGGGTTAGCGGTGAGGTATGGCCGCCATTACTGGCCGGCAGATGTCACTTTCCACGCTGGCAGTTCCTGCATTTGACAGACATCTACTACTGCTGCATAGCCAGCTGGATCTTTAAACATACTCTTTGCATCCCCTCTGAAAGGCTTATGTGCCCTGTACCCTCACGAAGGGAATAGGTAGCAGCTAGTTCAGGGGAGAGGAGGGAAGAAATAGAGGGAAGGGGGGAATCCCTGGACGAATGTTACTTCTTATTGCCCTTATTTTCTGATGGTTCTATAAGAAATGGTAGTAGATGCAGGAAGCTCTTGAAAGTAAAAGTTTACTAGCATGAAAAAGGAGGGAGGGAGAGAGAGATGGAACATTAGCCCCTGTTCAGCTTTACGGAGAACCAAAGGATGGGTGAGAGATTTGTTCACTTTGCATCTTATTACATCTTAATTCATCTATATACCACTTAATTATTTGCATCTCTACACGGTGCGCATAGAAAACAATCTACAGAGAATGGGACAGTAAAACAATAAATGGTTATCATAAAACAAAATACTACCTTAAAATGCCTGCTGGAGCAAAAAGGACTTAGTCATGTGCTTGATGTTCAGCTAGGAAGATGCCTGTCTAATCTCAGCTGGTTTGCTTTCTGCTTGAAGTCTCCTCATTTTAACATTCCCTCCCCTTAAAGGTTTCACACCATTCCAATCTGGAAGTCATGGCAATCAAGCTGATAGGTATGATCAATGCTGACTTTTTTGGACACACCCAAAGATTTTAGGATGGAAACAACAACAACAACATTATTTATACCCCACCCATCTGGCTGAGTTTCCCCAGCCATTCTGGGCAGCTTACAACATTTTTAGGTAACACAATAAAAACATCAATCCTTAAAAGCTTCCCTAAACAGGGCTGCCTTCAGAAATTACATGAAAGGTTGTTTTGCCAGAGAGGAGCTGAAAAAGTAGTCAGTGTCTAATTGAGACTATTCATTTACTTCTTATTTTACATGTTTCAATTAATAAACAAAATAAACCAAAGACAAAGAGCATAAAGAAATACTGTTGCAGCAGGTTGAAAACAGCAAAAGGTTGGACATTCTTGTTAAACTTGTTCCAAAACATTACAAAGAACATCAATTTTTCCAGCAACCTGTTGGGCTAGTTCATATGCATTCTTTTGTAATAAGTTACCGTATTTTTTGCCCTATAGGACGCACCGGCCCATAGGACGCACCTAGTTTTTTTGGGGGGAAATAATTTTTTATTATTATTATTCCCGCCCCCCCCGCCGCGGGACTGGGGCGGGGGAAGCCCGAGCTTGTAAAAACGCACCTACCGTAGTTTTTAGAGGAGAAAAACAAGGGCAGCAGGCTCCCTAGGTTGCAGATATCTGCCCGAAGCACGGGGCGCTCTGCTTCAGCTTGCTGATAGCTTCCTGAAGCCTGGAGAGCGAGGGGGGTCGGTGCGCACCGACCCCTCTCGCTCTCCAAGCTTCAGCGAAAGCCTGCATTCTCCCCATAGGACGCACACAGATTTCCCCTTCATTTTTGGAGGGGAAAAAGTGCGTCCTATAGGGCGAAAAATACGGTAGCTTAATCATAGTTACTATGGGCCAAGTTTTCTCAATCCATTCAGATATAGTGCTTCTCCCCCCTCCCCATTTTTTAGCTATTATAACCTTAGCAGTAGTTATAAAGCTAAAGTTCATTTCTAGACCATTTTCCAGAATCACACACACTTTAATACTGTTTCATCTTGACTATGTAGCGAGAGAGGAAAAAAGGGGCGGAGGCCTATAAACCATAATGAAGTTCTTGCTCCTCCACCTCTCTGGAAAGAATTCTGATCCAGTTTCCCTGAAAAATGCATTGGCATCCCAAACAAGTCACCTATTACCCCACCAGGCCCAAAGTGTTGCCATGATGAACGTACTTTTAGCCATTCTGTTGTTTCCCATTTCCCCCTCTGAGCAGTTACTTTCATGTCTGGACTCTGGGTTCACATTTTTTTTTAATGTGAACCGCCCTGAGACCTTTGGGTATAGGGCGGTATAGAAATAAAATAAATAATAAATAATAATAAAATAAATTCTTCAGTCCCTGCCAGTGTGGCTGCTACTTTACAGGCACCTGTGAAATAGCAGCCACACTGGCAGGGACTGAAGAATAATTCTCCTAACATTGGACAAAGCATCATTTTGAATCAAAAGCAAAAAAAGCTTTTCAGGTGTTTGCTGTTTCACCATACATATATATGTTTTTCCTTTTGGCACTGCAAGGAACAAATTGCAGCGGGGAAATGCTTAATATTATTTAATGGCCTTAAAGGACATTGGGGCAAGCATCTGTTGTGTACCAAGGGTTGTCCAAGTCCACTTTTATCTCCCTCTTTTCTTCCATCTGCTCTTCTCTTTGTCTCTGTGCATCCTATTGTCATGTCTCTGTCTACAGTAGTATGCCCCTTTCTGCCTCTGCCGTGTAAATAGGACTTCAAAGTAAATGATAGATATTCAGAATGTGACACTTTGGGGAATAATTTTCACACTCATTTCCTATGGTCTTGGTTTGCTGAATGAGTGCTGCACAGGTCATAATGGAAAGATAATGATAAATGCACTTATCTGGAAAGGTGCTAGAAGACCCTTAGCCATTTTTGCTGCAACAGACTAACGTGTTGACGCCTTTCAGAAAAGCAAACCCAAGCATTTTAAGGGAATCTCCATGTCAGAGCGAGGATTTGCACTAGGAGTGCCATCTCCTCCTTCTCTACAGGGAGTAGAAGTGAGACAACAGCTGCATTATGGCTGCTTTCATAAGGCAGTTTATTCCATTTCCCCAATGTTCTCCTAACTGTGAGTTTCCATATTATATCTGAGCTTTCGCTTGATGTAGAAGCCACTTCTGGAAATCTAGCAGAATCTAATAGAAGTTTAATACTCCCTTCCATGTTAATTGGTTCAAGAAATAATCAATTCAGAAAACTGCAGCAGTAAAGTATGAAATTTAGGGTGGTATACCGACATACAGTGGTACCTCAGGTTACATACGCTTCAGGTTACAGACTCTGCTAACCCAGAAATAGTGCTTCAGGTTAAGAACTTTCCTTCAGGATGAGAACAGAAATCACGCCGCTGTGGCGCAGCGACAGTGGGACGCCCCATTATCTAAAGTGGTACCTCAAGTTAAGAATAGGACCTCCAGAACGAATTAAGTTCTTAACCCAAGGTACCACTGTACAGTTCTTTCTTGCCACTTTCCTGAGGGGAATCATGGGGGAGCACAGATGCGTAGATAGGGTGAGTAGGTTGGTGACACTCATTGCTGTGTCACACTATGTCCACTGGTATGAATGACATTTAGTGTGACATGCCAATGTCACACTAAACCCACAGGTCCATAATGCAACTGGTATTGCAGTGTGAAAGTAGAAAATGGGAGAAAAGTGCTAGCTTTATAATCAGGAAAACTAATGCAATATTCCCCACATCTGAATGTACCCCATGTAAAGTGTGTGTATCAATATTTTGTGGTTGCTGTTGTTGCCTGAAGCAGCACCCAATGGAAAGGCGAACATTTAAGGTCATACTGCATCATCAGATGCTAGTTTCTGCTTTCATCTATTAATGCCCCCTCCATAGTACTGCCTGAAGAATATCACTTCAGCCTACTGCAGGGATGGGGAAACAGTGGTCCTCCAGTTGTTACTGGGCTACAACTCTCATCATCCCTGACCATTGGCCATGTTGGATAGCACTGATGGAAGTTGGAGTCCAACAACATCTGGAGGACCACAGATTTCCCATCCTTGTTGTCAACTGAGTCCTGCTCATATTAGAAAGTAATATAACTAAAGCTGTGGTATCTATGGATTTCAATGGAACTACTCTGAGTAGGGCTAGCATTGGATTCAGTTTGTGCATGTGTTACAGGGCTTGGATGCATTGAATGAACTTACCTACTCCCTTATCCAAATGCACCATTAACAAATTCCATGGAGGCATAATTGTCTTTGGAAAGAGAATTGTTTCAAAGTTTGAATGTTCCCCTATCACAGTTCTCGATCCTGCCTGGCTTGAGAGGTTCTGGTGGAGTGGCAGTATTTCATGGAATTTGGTTCGAAAGTAGAACATACCCTCTTGAGAACAAGATGGTGGAGGCTGTGAAAGAAGATGGTGGCTAGATTAAATAGGTTCCCTGCTATAATTGAGTGCAAGGTAAAAGAATCATCAAGTACTATTACTTTTCAAGATTTATGATGTGCCAGAAGCATATTAGGTGCTCTACAGACCCAGGAGTAACACATTCCATGCAGAGGGGGCTTACGGTCTAGGTGATTCATGGCTGTCCATTATCATTTGTTGTGCAAGCGTGTCAGAGCCAGGCTGTGGGCAGTCAAAGCAGAGACAAGCTTGCTTATTTGCAGATTTAGGGAGCTGATGGGATTCTGCATTGCTAGTGAGTTCCTGTAGCCCCTAACCCAAGATTCAAGACATTACTCAGAAAGCAGCTGTCCCAAAACCTAACTAAGCACTTGCTCATTGCAAAGGGAGCCAACAGAAGGGGAGGAGAACAAGCGGGCAGTGTGCAAGAAAGTAGCAAGCTGGATAAAGGTAAAGGGACCCCTGACCATTAGGTCCAGTCGCAGACGACTCTGGGGTTGCAGCGCTCATCTCGCTTTATTGGCCAAGGGAGCCGGCATACAGCTTCCGGGTCATGTGGCCAGCATGACTAAGCTGCTTCTGGCAAAGCAGAGCAGTGCACGGAAATGCCGTTTGCCTTCCCGCCAGAGCGATACCTATTTATCTACTTTCACTTTGACGTGCTTTCGAACTGCTAGGTTGGCAGGAGCTGGGACTGAACAGCGGGAGCTCACCCCGTCACGGGGATTCGAACTGCCAACTTTCTGATTGGCAAGTCCTAGGCTCTATGGTTTAACCCACAGTGCCACCCGTGTCCCCTACAGCAAGCTGGATAGGTAAAGCCTAATCCAGACTGCTGTTCAAGCAGAAAGCTGTGAACAATATGAAAGCATTTCTAAGCAAGGACGTTCTGAGGCCCAAGTCTTGGCTGATCCTCATAACAAGCTAGACTCCTTTGCCATCACATCCCCGCTGCCCATCCCTGTTGGGGGAAGGTCTGAAGCAGGGAGCCAGCTGTAGACACATGTAAGCTCCCCATGTGATTCAGAACCAGATCAAGTGTGGGAGCCAATAGGACTATAGCAGGCTCTCTGCTTCAGCCTTTCTTCCCATATGTCAGGGAACAGGACTAGCAAGTATGGTCCCTCTCTCCTCCAGATGTGCTTCTTAATTGCATGAGCAGAATGAATGAATTGAGAGAGAAGCAACACTTCAGTCTTAATGGGACTTGACTGAAGGTCAAATTGCATGTTGTACTTCAGAAAACCCACAGTGGAGAAATGGTGCTTAGAGCAATTTGGACTGGGGAAATGGCAGGCAGGGGAAGTCTATGGCTACTTGCTATAATGACTTTGCTTTGCTTCCACTACTGGAGGCTGTAATACTTCTGAATACCTGTTGCTGGAAGTAACAGGAGAGGAGAATGCTCTTCTGTGCTCAAATCCTGTTTGTGGGTTTCCCACAGGCATCTGGTTGGCTACTGTGTGAACATCATACTGGACTATATGGGCCATTGGCTTGACCCAGCAGGCTCTTCTTATGTCCATATGCTTGAACATCCCTGCTCCTTTCTTCCTATGTCCTCTGACAGCCCTGTAAATAAAGGGCTTTCCACTGTAAAGTCACCCTATGAGAAACTAATAAACAAAAATAGAACAAAAAGTTTTTGAAAAAACAGGAAAAACTGGGTGGGTGCTGAAATAGAGATTGAGAAAAAAAGAAGTCATCTATAATGTGTGCAGCATACATTTATTTATTTAAAAATGTCTCCCCGCTTCAGCTTGGAGAAGTCAGCCGAGAGCTAATGTCTTATTCCCAAGGTGTCCCCTGGGATGAATTGGGAGGGTTAAAGCTGCTGGTGAAGTTTTAGAAGATGAAAGGGAAATACAAGAAGGGAGGCAAGGAAATGATCAAGAAAACCAAGATTGAAAATGAAAGGGAAATGTACGCAAGCGATGAAGATGAATAACAAATGCTTTTACAAAGGTAACGCGTACGGAGCAAGGAGCTGATGAAAAAGATGGCAGGCCCTTTGGGAAAACAGTGATTGGGAAGGAAATTGATGACAGAAGAGTTGAACGGCTGCTGCAAAAGGGAATGGTTTCTTTACAGATGACTTCAAGTGGTTCAAGCGGGCAGGTCAAATTGGTGGAATTGAAAAATGAGGAAGAGGGTCCCAAAGTCTAGGGGCTTGGTGGGCACCAGGGCTGTGGGGAACACTCTGTGATTTATTCATTTGTTTCAGAAATGTCTAAAATAATGGAGATCAAACAAGCTCCCAGTGTGGTTCCCATAGAATCAAAATACAACTAATCCCCCCCCCAAATAAAAATAAAAAAATAAAAATGGAGCCATAGGTGCTTCCTGAGAGGTGGGGCTTATCAGGAAGGCCATCTCTGGATACAGAAGAGAGCAACAACAACATCTGCTCCTGTGTGGAGGTATTGCCATTTAGCTCCCTTATCAGCGTAAACACCACTGAGACACAGACAGAAGAAGCATCATCAGCAGAGGTCTGGAGGATCTGCCCTGTCCTGTAAATAAACCACCTCTTTTTTGTTGAGTCATGGATACTTCTCTCAGAGAGATGGAATATTAAGAATAATTGATTACTTATAACCCACCCACCCCGCATCTTGCCTGCCCTCCCTAGCCACTCTGGGCGGCTTCCAACAGAATATTAAAAACCTTATCTGCAAGGCCATTGTTGATGGTGGGTCACCATTGAAGGGGTGACACCAAAGCTTTACCCTTTGGGAGAGTTGCTCTGGGATGAAACAAGGAAGTGCATCGCCAGGAGCAGCCATTCCCTCAGACTGCCGAGCCATTGAAGCAAAGAAGGGCTATTCTATTGGCTCTTTTGAGAGGCCAGCTACCCTTGGCTCTTCCGCAACTCTCTCCCAGTTGGGGTACCTGAACTGCTTTCATCCCAGCTGGTCATTATAAGAACTGCAACTTTAAGAGCAGGTTCCTGAGTTTCCTTTTTCCCACTCTCTCTCTGTCCCATTTTCCTTTTGTGCCATACCT